GTTTGTCCAATACACCGTTGGTGTCTACCAACTTGGACATTCCAATGTCCAGCACGTTGACCGTCTCGATCCAGAGCTCTCGCCAATAGCGCTTTTGTTTCCTAGCAGAGGCGGTTTCATGACTCGCCAAATCTCCACCTCGAGACGTGCGCGTAGCGCCCAAGGCTTTGACCTTCAATCAATCCTTTGCTCATGGTGTTCCAACCATGCCATAACAAGGATTAGGTAATACCTTGCGTTCAATTCGAGGACTAAACAGCTTTACACACTACCAAAGCAAAGAAATTTGACACCAAGGTCCACAGGGACTCTCGGCACCGTGACACATGTTTCCGTCGCTAAACGAACAGTGACGGTGTCACTCAACTGCGCTTCCAGCGCCTGAGCATACAGCTGACTTTGCTTCGATCGTGGAGCGTCGAGCAATAAAGGTCGACGCTTCGAAGTCGATCAGGATCTTCCATGGCCTCTCAAAGCCCTTCACGTTTACTTTTGCGACCAGCAAGCCCGGCCTGCATAGTCGAAGAAGTCATTTAGGAGATTAACTAGTCGTCGCTTCTGGATGAAGCTGCACCAAGAGGACGCTGAACGCACGAAGTGACCTTCGATTTTGAGAAATCACACGGATCCATCCTATTCTTTGGTAAAGAGATTTCAAGACGTCGTCTCAAAAGACCCACCGTCGGTTCTATTTCCGGACCAAGGTGTGCGTCATGAGATTAATCTGGTTCCGGGAGCCAAATACTGCGTAACACGCCATTGGCCCCTGCCCAAGGGGTAGTTTGACGTCATTGACGCCAGTTTCCGTGTGAAGCACGAGGCAGCAATGGTATGTGACAGCAAGTCTCCTCATTCGACACCCACGTTTTGTGTCCGGAAGCCGAACAGCAAGTGGCGTATCGTGCACGCTTACAATAAGCTAAACGCTGCCACCATTCCGGCGCAATCGTCGACTTCTGGAAAGGATAGTCTTCAGAACAATATAGCTGGCTGTACAACGCTCAGGCCGATTGTTTTTACCAATTGCTCATGAGATCGCGTGCTATTCCGCTGACAGCGTTGGGTACTCCGAGCGAGATGCTCTGGAAGTGGCTGGTGAGTCGTCAAATGCACCACCAACATTTAATCGTTATGTTAAACAACTTTTCAGGCCCCATCGGGCGTATACATAGACATGTTTTGACGATATCTTCGTCAGCAGTCGGGCGGGACACGGGAGGACGGATGAAGAGACCCATTTTGTCCATTTGAGAGCGGTGCTCGAGTGCGTGCGAAGAATAAGCTATGTGCTAATTTAGACAAATGCATCTTCGGCGTGGAGAAAATCCTTTTTTTTAGTGCCTCATTGGGAAGCGTGGCCTTGAATCAAGGCCATTGTGGACTGGCCGATTCCAAAGAACCAAAAAGACTTACGCAACTGGCTTGGTCTCGCCGACTACTTGCACAATCATAGCGCAAATTATGCAGAAATGGCACAGCCATTGTCGAATCTCCTGAAGAAGGATGCGGAATGATGTTGAAACACGGAGTATCGGAAAGCTTCTGACGCGGTCAGAGACAGCCTCCTTCATGCACCAATACTAGCGTTGCCAGACCCCAATCGTCCGTCTTCTGTGACGCTTCGGGCTTTTCCATCGGCTGAGCACAGCTGCAAGCAGACGCCGAGGGGCGAGATCGGGTGATCGGATTCGAATCTCGCCAGCTTAAGGCTGTGGGGAATAACTTCCCAGTCCACGACGAGGAATTGCTTGCAATGGAGTATGCACTCGTTAAGTTCAGAGTGCGTCTGTTCGGCTCCAAACCGTTTGTGATCTATACAGATCATGCGTCACTACACACTGCGACTCGGTCGCCTCACCTCCCGCAGAAGATGGCCAGGGGGCTCTTCTTTTTCGCAGAAAATAACTTCGAGATGAAATTCCAGCCAGGATAGTAGAATGTTTTGGATAATGCTTCTTCACGCAGACCGGATTATGAGCTTGCTAGTGATCTTCATTGACGTATTCGATCCGCGCCGCATACGGGGGTGATGATATGTGCATAGCGCTGCTACGGGCTCTTGGGAGCAAGGAATTTGGAAACACGGACAAGAAGTTGTCGGCGCGATTGCGCGCACGGTTTCGCCGATATTCGTTGGATACAGGGTTGCTGTAGTATAGCACCGACTTGACGAATACGCCACGAATAGTGGTTCCCTACGATGAGGAATTGACGTATCGGATCCTCTATGAAGCCCATGACACCCCACTCAGTAGTCATCTCGGTCGTGAGTAGACCTACAGCTCTATGAGCTACCACTACCGGTGGTTCGAGCTATACAAATGGACGAGCATATATGTGCGTACGTGTGAGACGTGTCAAAGGGTAAAACCCTCTCCGAATATGGCGGCGCCACTGGCAAATTTGCCGGAATCCTTCGGGTGCTGGCAGTCGATGAGTATGAACTTTGTTTTTGGCCTGCCGAAGACTCGGAGGGCAACATGGGTGTTGTGGTCTGTATCGATCGTTTGATCAAGATGGGTTATCTTGCGGTGGTGTCGGATATCATTGACGGTGTCGCTACAGCGATGCTGCCTGTAAATCCCGTCTTTCGACAACATGGATTCCCGGAGTTAGTTGTATCTGACAGAATCCCACGCTTCACTGGTCGACAATCTTCAGGGTGCTGGACACCAAGTTGACTATGTCAACAGCGAACCATCCGCAGACCGATGGTTAGACTGTGGGCGTAGATCGCGTCGTTGAAGACGCTCTGTGCAGCGTCTGCGCTGAGACGCCAAAGCACTGGAGCGCCATGCTGCCACTTGTGGAGTTTGCTTTAAACAATTCAGTGCATTCGTCTACCGGCAACACGGTGTTCTACGTGAACGGGATCGGACGCCGCCATCCCATAGCTCATGTTTTGGTGGGGAGGAATAGCCAAGCAGCTAGCTGATTTCAGCCCCCTCACCATCCGTAAAGAAGTCGATGCTTCCCGTGAACCAGACTGAGTGTCTTACGACACGTTTGCGATGCGATGGCTGATAGCCAAGTTATGCAGAAGGGATATACAGACGGAAGAGGTAGAGGAAATGTTAGAAACTTTAAGGTCGGGGACCTGGTTTTATCAAATGCGAAAGACCTTCCTACCGATGCAATATCACAGGCTTTCAGACGACGCTCCGTCCACGGTTTAGTGGACCTTTCTAAGGTCGTGGTCAAGCGAGGCCTTGCGCATACCGTAAGCCTTCCAAAACGGATGCGCACCCACCCGGTGTTTAATTAGGGCTTGCTTAGGCCGTACAGGGATCTGGCGCAAGTGAACGCCGAAGCGTTGACGCCGAGGCGGCATTCACAGGCGCTCGACCACCCAGAAGCTAGACCAGCAACTGGATCTGAGCACGGAGTGCAACGAACTCCGTTTTTAATGGCGCTTGGCGCTCTACCGTCGCACGAAGTGACGTATTCGTCTGCTCGACGGCTACGTGCCGCTCCGACAAAGCACGATAGCCCTCAACGTGAGGTTGTTGGTGCGCTAAGCTTTTCAAGCTCTCGAGGTCATCCGCACAGCGGTATGCGACCCAGCATGATGGTCAGTAGAATCCCGATGACGACGGACCTTGTCCTCAAGAGCTCGAAGAGCATAACGATTCACCGGTCGGCGATCGACCAAGTCGTCATCGTCCGCCATCGACGAGAACGGTGACGTCCATTATCACGTGGAACGTATTGTGGGTCGACGTCGTCGACGGGGTCAAAATTTGTATCTTGTGAAGTGGCGGGGATATCCAGACTCTTAGGGCTTGTGAGAGCTTGAGGTGCCACTTTGGCAAGACTGTCCAGACGTTGTTTACGCTTATGATCAAAGAAATCATGAAGCTGTTGTTGTGCGCGCCGCGTTTCTCGGTAGTAGCCAGGAAAGCTTTAGAGCCGTGAGCTGAGCTCAAGCTATGACCCTGATCTACTGTGGTCGTAGAATCACCATGTAAAAACCCACAAAGCCCACAGGAGTGACATATGTCGCAGGGCGACAATACAGAGGTAGTCGGCGTTGCGCCTTGAATTTGGCAAACTCGAACCGAAGATGGCGTTCCACGTGCACGACCACCTCCTTGTGGCTCCGCTGAAATTTGGGCAGCAAGGAAAGTTTTCGGTGCCGTTGCACCCATCGCTCAAAGAGCTCTACATTATCTGCAGCAGTTTTGCCCGGGGCGAGCAAAACAGAAATCGTCCGCTTCGCGGGTACAGGGGCGCCTTTTCTTTGAGCGGTAATAATTCATTGGGATTTTTTTAGGTACCCCAGAAGCGAACCCGGATATCTGTTCGTTGGTCAAGCTCAGCTTGTGTCGTGGTCGGGTTCGACCACGTAGACGCCCGATGATCGGTTGATCGCGCAGTAGCGGGATTCGCCGAGCGGGAGCCGTACCGGCCGTGGATGCGCGCATAGCCGCCCCGCGGGCTCTCTCCAAGCGATTGTCAATGATACCACTTACCCCGGAAGTCGAGAGGTCGGAAACGGGCACGGCGTCTGCAAGGTTCGAGCAGGACTCACGTCGCGCCGCTGGCGCACCTCGCCCTCCTCTTTTTCCCATCCTGAAAAAGGAGTATCCGAATCGTAGTCAATTTCCTCCAAATCCTCGACGAGGTAAACTGTCGCCCATGGTGGGTGCAGTGCGCGGTGCTCGGTTGCCGAGGGCTTGGGATGCGCTTCTTTTGAAGCCGTGGACGTGCTGTCCGAAGTTGCACCGCGTGCAGTAGACGAAGAAGGGTTCTGACCGCGGGCGCTCTAGCTTTCGGAATTAGCGAGAATGGGTGCCTTTAGTGCTCTAGACACAAGACTCATTGAGCAGAGAATGCGTGAAGAAGGCCCTGGGGATGTAGAGGTGTCTAAGACACGCGAGCCTCGTACGAGGCGACACTTAAATGTGAATTATGGGTATTCATAATTTTGATAACGGAGAGTGTAATGGGATTACACGTATTCTGGTATGAAGGGGTGGGTCACATGACCGCATAATGGTGTGGCCACACCATAACAAGAAGCCACTTCGTTGCTGGCTGCCTGTAGCTATGAATTTTACTATTTAATCAGAAAAAGGACCTATAGATTTAGATATAGGTGGCTTTGCCGCAAATAAAACAAAGAATTACAGCATACTTTTTGAGCGGTAGAACTAAATTGCCTTGGGTTAAGTTAAAGGATTGCGATCCGCTAGCTCTTATACTGGTTCTGGTATAGAACGCTATGTCGATGACTTTAGCTTAGCTTCTTCTAAGCAAAGAGCTACGGCAGCCTCGTTGCATTATTTGTGGATATACCAGAAAGAGAGAGATCAAACCCGAGTACGGAATTTTTCAGACATGACGGCAGATCTGCCGGTGCCAACGCCCGATGACTTTTGGACGATTATTGGGGTAAAAGCGCGCGAAGTAGAAGGTACTAGAGCGGTGATCATAGGTACGGCAAGGATGGATGCTATTCGCAAGAAAGGTCAAAAGCGCGCGAGCAAGAAATGCGGAACATATGACAAGAATCGGAGAAAGAACACGCACGGATCGTTGGACAGAGTCGATATGTCAAGGATGGGTAGAGCAGCGATCAAACAGGATGGAATCAGATAGGACAAGTGAGGTGAATAAGGTGCGACGGATGAGAAGAAGTGCGGAAACCAAACTCTATCCGAATGACACGAGTTTGGGTTACGCCTGCCGACGAAGCCGAAGTGAGAAGTACAAGTGAGAAGTAACGTTAGCGTCAAGATGTAAGAATTATGGTTGGTGTTACAGAATAATATCTTTCGACTGTTCAAGCTTATCGTCAAGCAACTATTTCATTGTTCATTGTCGCAACACTGTAGCTTAATAATTGTTTACATTCCTACAACTATCTCGGCCCAGAATCAACTAGAAGATACGTGAATGACAGTATATCGAAACTTCGCGACGAATGATGCAGTCCGATTTTGATAAGTCATCCCATCCTCATAACGAGTCCAAATCGTGATCAAAATGTGAAGACTTCGACTTTTTGACACGACGTTTCGCACAAAAGAATCTATAGTGTTTATTTATATTCACTCATCTATCCAACAGCTTTAATCAGGTAGGGTTGACTATTGCCAAATGAAAGGATGTAATCACACTTTACGTTGATTACATTACTTTACCACAAGTACATATTCTCTCATCAAAAAGACGAGTCTCATTGATCGAGTGAAAAGCTGAAAAATTACGAAAAGCGTGTCTGTAGAGCACCACGTACAACTAAATAACGATCACTTTGATCTTTTAATCGCATGAACGGTGTCACTTCATCCCAATCAAGCTTCTTTTTAACCTAATAATCAGCTACCTCAATCATAGCTACGAAATTGAAGCTCAGGCTGCGAGCAATTTCAACTGGAAGCTGGGGAAGCCACTACGAATCACCATTGACAAAGTGTGCACGGACTCAACAAAGTGAATAGCACGTTACAGACAGATCCCGCTTAACAGGAACGTTGACATGACAAGTCACCATTAGGTAGATAGCAAAGCTAAAAGTGCCTTAAAAATCCTAATCTGGGTCCTGATCCATTTGCATACGCGTAATTTCAAGTGGGAGCATGAATGTCGTTTCACCACGAAAGTCAAACAAACTGACAGCCTTTAGCTTAGCTCAACGGGGCGCAAAAAGACATGTAGAATTGTATTGACTGATGATCAGTATCGACAAGACTTGCAGCAAATACTTGCGATGTCAACACGATCCGTTCCTCGACGACGCAATTGATAACTGACATTCTTTCACCAGACCTAGTGCTAAGTCCTGTTTTGCCTGATAAATATAACTTCTTCAAATGTATGAGTCTTGTCAAATTTCAGTCGTATGGACTATTCATTCCATCAAACAGGATTGGCTATCTCACCGCAATACACCACGAATGTCAAACGTTTTGCAACCATGAAGGCGAAACTATAATATTAAAGGTTGCCAAATTGTTTCCGAACGACCTATTAACGCATTTTTGAGCGATGTCAAGCTGAAATTCGATGTCTCTTGAGAATCTTAGTAGCTGACAGATTTGTTCACAAAACACCACGTTGGTATTTTGTTTTGGGGCCTTAAAAGAATTGCAAGTACATAAGCTCTCAACTTATGTTACTTCAATGCCATACGCACTGCGCTGCGCTTCGTTCTTGACTAATGCGAACCCGCTCGGGATCCTGATAACTAGAACGTGTAGTGCGATTTTTGCTTTTACGGTTTACTCCCCCATTTCTAGAAGAGGGCGGCAAAGACAGATTTTCTGTCCGATAGTAGCTGCTGTGATCTCGGCTGTGGCTGCGACTTGAACTGCGGCTTCGACCGCGGCTGCTATAATATCGCTTGTATTTTTTTTTGCTTCTTAAACAATCGTCGGGGCTTCGCGACCAACTCCTGCTGCGGCTGTTGCTACGGCTGTCATGTTCCCGACGGCTACTTTCAGCACTGCGACCAGATTTGCGATCGCGACGATCAAAATAGGATGAATCTCGATAATAATCGATTTCGCGAACGTGCGAAGAAGAGCCTTTGTCTCGAGCACGATATTTGTCCTCGCTTCGATTTTGGTCACGATATCGATCACTTCCATCGTAGCTATCGTAGTCGTATCGATCACGACGTTGATGCTTAGCAGTTATTCCACTTCCTCTACTATATCGCGAATCGCTACCACTACGACTTCGGCTGTATTGTCGGTGCCGGTCCCGGTTGTCGCTCCGTCCATATCGATATGCGCATTCCTGGTTTCTAGATCGACTTTCCATCTTGATACGTACCTCATTGTCATCTTGGTATGTCTTCGAGTTATAATCATGTTGATTCTCGCGTCTTATTCGGTCTGTCGTTTTGCTACCCTTAGACCAATCTTTTACCTCATCTGTCGTTAACTTTGTGAACTCTAACTCGTTCACGATAACAGATGGGTCTAAACGCAAGCCACCCAATTGATCCTTAAACGCAAACTTCAAATTTACAGCCTCATCGCCATCCAATGCGCTGGCCGACTTTACAATAGCGTCAAATGCTGTCTGCTGACTTTTTTTCCATCTCTGTAATATTCGGTAGCTTTGCAAAGCATTTTCTTTGACATATCAAAAGAGACAATGAGAATCATGGAATTCCATTGCTATTAGGTATCAATCGTACTTGCTATCCTTTCGTTGAAAATTTGACCATCTTGACTTGAACTGCACCATTTAAACTTAAAATCTTTGCCCTGGTCCCATGTCGCGATGTAAGCTGCTGCCTCGCCTAGTAACCGAGGGGACAAATTCACACATACGGACAAGTAAAATCTGCGTCAAGTAAGGATTAGCAGCATAAACAGTTTCCAATAAAGCTTTTACAGTGACGCACAAATCTTCCAGAACTGATTGTGCGGCGTGGTCTATTGACTTTCGAACTGATAAACACGATACCAGCAAATCGAGGTTACATTAGTCATGTAAAATAGATCTCATAATGAAAAAAACAAAACGCACACTTGTCGGGCATCTTCTCCAATACCAGGCGAAGATAATAAAATGGCATTTCATTGGTCAACTCGAAATTTATGCCTTGAAGGACTTCCATCTCGTAGTGAAGCAGCTGCAAACGTTCGACTTCTAATAGCTCTTCGTCACCAGCAAATAGTGGTGTTTCCAAGATGTCGTACATGATACGGACCATACGTAAAAGTTTCATACGTTTGCTAGATGCTTTAGCTGAAAGAAATAGACACGCAGCGGCGAATTTGTATCGTTCTTTTGCATAAATACCTCGGTCGAAGACGCGATGAAAAAAAATGCACGCGGTGAGTGCAATTTCATTGCTTAGACCGAGACATCGAGATAGAATGTCGATAAATGCAATCGATGTATATCGCCAGTGCTGCTTTTGTTCCGATTTCGTGTCAAACTGCTGGCGCTCAAAGATTAATGGACAATTAGATCGATCGAGTTGCACTTGTGGTGTGCTTGGAGGTGGCAATTCAAACGACTGGAGCTGATCAGGAGCCTCGGCTTGTCGTTCCGTTTCGCTTCGAGGCAACATAACTGGAGCACGACGAGGTTTGTATTCACCCATCACTAGACATTTCCAAGCCTTGATCTTCGTTGGATACAACTTGAGCTCTTCCCACCGCGCAAGGGTCTGTTAACGTTAAAAAGCATCAAGTATGACTCATTAATCAATCCAACGGATGATTCTACTCATCACTTTACCTTAAAAACACGCTTTCGATTCTCCTCCATATTTCGCTTATCACCGTACCGAATTTCTCGAGCACAAGCATTAAGCACTTCGTCAATTGTCTGATACCATTCGCGCTGTATTTGTTGCAACCGTTTGCCTTCAAATGACTTTAAGAATTCATGTAAGACATAGAAGAGCATTAATTTGGCTTGAAAACCGCGGGATCCATCTGAATATGCTCGCTACAATCAAACAACAAGACAAAGACGTTAGTCATTCGAGTACTAGCTAACACAATGGACAGAAAGCAACTACTGAAGTCTATTCCATTAAGCTCACCACCACCAATCCACACAGCACAGGCAGATACCCAATTAGAAAAATATATATCGAGATGAAACTATTCTAACATACAATGAGGGCAACAACCTGTCGAGCTTTTGTCTGATGTGGTGATTTAGTGGCGGCGGTGACATTAAAAGAATATTGTAGCGTGGTATTAATGACTAAAAGTACCTGCTTTATCTTGATTTGGAAGCGTAGTGAGTGCTGAGGAAACGAGGCCATATACTCCGCCGTCTTTGTTACTAACTCACGATTCGTCACGCAATGAAGTACATTGTTGAGCACTGTACCAAACTCTGCAATCTCAGTTTCCCACTGTGAGTCAGATAGCAGCGGACGCTCGGGTTCTAATGCCGGCGTAAGAACTGCGGAGACCTCTGGCGGTGTCACGGACGGCGTGTCGATACCGCTGGTGCTTCGCGTGGTGCCATTCTTGCGGTGTTTGTGGTCAGATGAGCTCTTTTTGAGCGATTTTGACGATTTTCGCGACTTTTTTGACCGTTGAAGCCGTTGCAAAGACAAGGAATCGCCACCATCCTTCTTAACGATCGAGGCCGATGCTGAGGTTTGTGTTGCACTACTAAGGACGTCGGGTGACTCGATGGATATGCCAGCGATTGTCGTGTTGATTGATGTACTTTCAGAAGACATGGAGACGGCAGGAACGCGTTCCTCGTTGCCTATAGAGACCGATTGATCGCATCCGAGGTCTTCCATAAAGCTTCCCCTACTTTTGGTCTGAAGGTCTATATCGCCAAAGGAAAAGCGAACTTAGGAAGACACTTAAAATCCGTTTCAGTATTTATAATAAAGATATGGGTACAATTTTTAGGAAATCATGGCAAGTTCCATCTCTGTAGCGATTGATATATTGTGGGTTGGACGATTCCAGCTTGATTCAATTGTGTCCGTATTATAGTAACCAGGACCCTGCAGTAAAGAGTATGTATAATTGGTTAGCGAGACAAACTTGTATAGGGCAATGAATTTATCTAAACCAGAGTGGGCATTTTCAACATCTTTTCCTTGAATCGTGGTTCCTAGATACACATAGGAATGAGTATGACACTTTCATTTTAGTATCTGAAGCAAACAATCACAACATACCGCTGCATAAAAGACATTTGGTTGAGGCTTGTGCTGAGGCTTTTGCTCCAGACGCTCGGTTGAGTAACTTCCGGGTCCCTAATTCCATGGCTAAGTTTGTTAGCAGCCCTTCTTTGGATAACAAACCCACAAATACAGTAAGCGTACGGGGACAGAAGTGACCAGGTCTGATTGACTCTTCATTCGATTAATCCCAGACTTAAACGCTCCACGCGCTCCTGATGCATCCCACGATCGTTGAACCTAAAGTGCATTTATCAATATTGAAAATGTTTATACCAGAAAAGATAATCGGAAGTCTTGACCTCGTAGTCGCCTGGTGATGGACCAGTCACCTTTCGATCCATTCGTCTTGTTGATGACGCAAACATAAAAGAAGCTTTCGGCTTTTGTTGCTTCTTCTTGCTGTGTCTTTGCTGTTGTCGATTCGCCTCACTTGCTTTCATGTCTCGCTCTAATTGGGACTCCAGTGTTTCGTGCTCACAACCTGATGAGATTGTGTCGAAACGCTTTGTAGTGCTGCCGAAAGTTGACACTCGGCTTGTCTGAATGGTGTATAGAATAAGTGTCTCACAAAGAAATACCTGAGCAACTGTACCGCACCACTTTATTCAATAATTCCGACATGGTGGACGGTACTTCGTAAGAGCCTGGTGAGACCAGACTCTGCTTACTTGATTTCATAACTTCAAAGCGCTCCTTCTTTGAGCTAAAAGGTGCGGTTTTACCGTCTGGTATGAAGCGCTGTTGCTGAACGGTGCCTGACTGTTCATGATGATAAGCTCCAGGCCCTGGACCAAGCCCCTCTCTGCACAACACGATCATATAGAAATAAGACAGAATACTCTCGCGAACCCAAAGCATATAGTACCGTCGCGTAGTGTCGAAACGAGTTGACGTGCTTCCGAAAAATTGTAGATGTTCTGGTTTCGTTTCGACTGAAATTCCATTAGTTTGATTCAAGAAGTACGCTCCGGGCCCAGGCACGCTTTTCGTTGCTGTGACTAGCGTTGCTTGTTCTCGAGAAAGCGCTGACTTGAACACAGCACTAGATCTTGCAGGGTCTTTAAGCGCAGCGGCATCTCCAAGACTCTTATATTCACCCGGTCCGGGAACGCCTGCCTTTGCTCGGAGTTCACTTTCGATAAATCGCATGACTTTTCCTTTGGAAAAATCAGTTGTGCGTGTATTGCTAATGCTTTTAAGACCTTTCATGGGTTCATACTCCCCGGGACCTAATGTATCCTTTCCACACCCTGTATGCCCAACTTTAACTGGCTCATGACGAACAAGTCTTCCATTCTCTTGTTCATAACCAAAGCTCTGTAAGACAGTTGGAATCGATGGAGCTGTAGGAAGCCTCATCCATCGAATCTTGTTGTTCGATGGTGGAGTCTTTACAAAAGAGTTTCCAGAGCTGGTATGTCTTAAAATCAACTCAAATTAAAACATTCGATTGTGGTTCAGGTCGTCAAAAAAATCTGTCACGTACCCTTTAAAACGATGTGCGAAAAAGTCACGGTCTGAATATGACCCTGGTCCTGGAGTGCTATACCCCCTTCGCAACTTCGAGTCATCGATTCGTTGTGACTTTGACTGAAATACCGATGTCAATGTCTTGCTAGGTGTTGGCGATTCCCAACGGGTTAAATTATCGATAACATATGCTCCAGGACCCGGGGTGATCATTGTCAAGCCTTTTGTGAAGCCAGCATTAGTTCCACGCTCAAGTTTCTCGCCACATCCAAAAGCAGTAGCATTTGGCCTCATACGATTCGATGGTAGCGTTTCGTAGCACCCTGGACCAAGATGAGCTGACGTGCGAGTCTTCTCCTGCAAACCACCTGGACAATTGTCGCGACTTGTGCGATTCACCCATGCCATGATGCTGCTCACTATTTTATCAGCGATTGGCTTTAGCAGAGTATATTTAGATACAGACTGTCGATCTGCATGTCAAACTCAGGCACGAAAATATGGCCTGAATATGTTTATTGAACGTACTTTCAACACGATGCTTATACATACCATTGCAAAAGTTAGGTAGGGCCTTATGTGGACTCGTCGAAGCAGTAAGTGTGCGGCACATATGCTATGAGTGCTAATATCTTTTGGTGAATATTGCTAGAGCTGACCCAAGCGTGTCATTTTTTAAAGAGCTCGTATTGATCGTTGGCAAAATTTTATCACGGTCAATTGCGTGAAATCAATGCTGATTTTGTGTCACTGGCTTGAGGCAACAATAATGCCTCCTCAGCCACATGACACGAGGTATATAATCTACAACAACGTTGGTGGCTCCTCGACCCAGAAAGTATAATTACGAACAGTTGCATTTTTGAAAAGTCACCAAGTAAACTTTGATAGTTAATATCCTTGCTGAAGGCATCGCCTTTGTGACCAGCAGCATATGTGTGCTTTTGTCAACTACATGCTAGTTGCTCCGTTGACCGTAAGCAAAGAGCACTCCATCTGGGTGAACGCGCATGTTTCTTGTCTCATGTCTCACTAAAGATGATGTACACCTAAGAGCACAATCATTTTATCATATACTAAGACGGGTCGCATGTGGTGAAAGCCCTACGAGCTTTGATTGCGTTTTGAGATATCTTCTCTGCTGCAACTTGCCAGTTCAACTCTTACGGACACCCATATTTCCTACAATTTCGGTGTCAAGCATAATGCCTGACGATTCTTAAGAAACGACGTAGCCCCTACGACCGACGTCATGAATGTTTTTTTAAGTGAGGTGGGCGGGTACTCTCTGGTGTGATTCGGTGGGGGGTCACTATGACCCCCCCCCGAGTTCCAACTTAACATCTACCAAAGATATTATAGCCAAGCCGCCGTCACCGGGAATTGTAAGACATTCTTTACATTTTGCTTCAACCCTGCACGAGTTGTACACACCAACTTGCCGACCAGTTAAATATAATGCTCTTCAACTTGATCACACAAGTACCAGTAAGTCGAGAAGCTCTCGGTTCAGCACCCTAAGGGCGACCGATGACCCCATCCTCTGTGCATTTGTGCATGCGGACCCGGAGAGCCAGATCTTTCTCAGCGCAAGATGCACGGTAAACCCCTTGCAAAAGTATTATGCAGTGCTTGGCTTAGGCTCGGCAACGGTCGCACCGTCAAGCCGACTGTGTATTGGCTCTAGATAACTACTCGCATTTGTATTGGCATTTGTTGCTCATGGAGGGAGCTGTAGCGAGTATGCATCCTATGGTGTACGCACATTTTATCCTGAGACTGAAAGCAAAGCTCAGATGCATCCGGTCATTTAACAATATAAAGTGTAAAAATGAGTATTGAGGTCCAGATCATTGCGAATGAACTATTTCTAAGAAAAATCGCAGCGAGTTTTAACTCAGTCGTTTCAGTCAAATTCGCGTCGTAATTATGATAGGCCCGTTAAAAAAAAGCCGCTCTGCAGCGGGGCTGCCGTAGCGTAGCGCTTGAGGAAGCGTACTTTAGGTCACCGACCTTTCGTTCTTTTCAAGAACCAAGT